TGCCTTGATTACCACTTCCAGTGTCCCGTTCCGGTCGCAGATCTCGTGTCCTCCCTCTCTATCCCAAGAATCCCTGTGTCTAAGTAAACCTCTCCTTCGGGATCGGCCAACAAGGTCGTGCCTCTCCGGATCTGCAGTACACCCGTGACAGGACCTCTATCCTTGAGACAGATCAGGGTCCCAAACCTAGCCAATGTCTTCTGATCAACACCCCTCAAGAGTCCCTAAGCGTCTCTCTCCGTCCTCCTTGCTAGTTCTCCTAGCCCAGTCTGAATCGGTTAGCCCGCTAAAGGCCCTCCTACTGTCGCCCAATGTCGCCTATCGACCTTTCTAGCTTCCTCTATCCTTCCAAAAGCTTCCAATTTCTATTTCCACTACCTTATCTCCTCAACGGTTACGAGGTCATCTGTCTAACAGCTGAGGTAAGTTAGTGCTATAACGACTTGTAACCTCATCGCCGACTGCTCCAATATGTCATAAAATATCTCAAAGTCCTCATTATCTCCCCATTCGTCTATCGCCTCTAAAGTCTTCATCGTTTCCTTCCAGTACCGGTTGTGAGCGGCCAACACCCTGAGTATTGCACCATCTGTTACTACTCTCCCTAACTCTCCAGCTTTCCTGGCTTCGTTTATCTTCAACCTCTCAGCCTCTCTGGTCGTCTCGTACCATGCCCTTATCCGAGACCGCCCTTCGAAGGGTGTTACTCGGAGTACGTATTTTATCCTCCGTCCTCCTTCTATTCCAATCCAAAGTCCTGTCCCCCTTGTCTCACGCAGGGCACGGCGGAAACACTCTGTCTCCTCAATTATGCACAGTCTGGCATGGAGTTGGAGTTCTATGATCACTAACACTAATGGTTCATCCAGTCTCCCTACCACATGTAATGAGTACCAATCCGTCGTGTGTAGTGCAGTCCCGCTCATGTCCCGTCGCTACTCCCCTGCGTAACTTTGTCTTCCGTTGTCTCGCTTTCTGCAGATCGCTTACTAGTTTCTTCGCGTGATACGCATCTAGCCTTTACCCTCCCCAAAAAGTCTCATCTCCACGCCTGGATAATCTCTCTTTCTTCCCTAAACAGATTGTCTAACTCTCTTGTCACGAGTTCAGCCCTTCGCAACTTGCCCTCGTCTTGACACGACCAAATCTCCCTTAACTTGTCCCCCAACTTCTTTACCTGGTTCAAGAGTGGTTCCTTAACGCGCTTTCTCACTCTTCCGACTGCCTCGCTCTCCTCTTCCATTCTCAGTCCACATCTTTTTCCAGCTCACCCTCTCACCCTCGCTCTAGCCTCCGCTACTGTCTCATCGTGGTAGTACTCCGTGCACATATAACCATGAGACCATATCATCACATCATAGGAAATCGAGGTCTGGAAGGTCACCCGTGCCAGTACATCAGCTCTGCGCTCATCGATCAAATCCCTAGCTCGTTGTCTGCACTCACTCGCAGTCAAGTCCTCGTCTACGTATGCTCGGAGAAGTACTGTCACAGTGTATCCTCCACTTACCAGTTGCTCTTCTACACGCATCACCGTGGTTGTCCTTCCCGACATTCCCTAAGCTGCGGCCTCGAAGAGAAATCTCGCGTCCTCTAGCCCCGCGTAATCGATCTTTGCCCGTCTCCTGCAGTACCTAATCAGATCGATAGGCCCCAGACAATCCATCCAGCTCGTAACATCTATGATGTCGTCAAGCGTCTCTCTACTGGGCGGGCCCCACCTCACACAAACGGCGTAGTATACTTCCTTGAAGCGGGGCGCTAAGCCCTCCCAGAGCGCGTAAAGTGTGTGGTCTACTTCTCTACTCAAACGATCCACGCTCCCATAGGTCTGCCCTATTACGAACGTAGGAAGTCCGAATCGCCAATCCTTTCTCGGGTAGAGGGTCGGATGTGGTGGACCGTATACCAAGCAGCTCCTACTCGTCCTTCCTCCAGAGAGTCTCGCCAATTGCTGATTAACGATCACTTTGGCCAACAACTCGCTTCTCCACCAACCCCTGCTCGCGCCTGCGAGCGTTAGCCCTATCTCTAAATAGAGTGTTCTATCCGCTATTACATGTCCGACCCCTTCTAGCTCATGAGTCCTCTCGGGTCGTTCGTCACGTATTATCACTGTCCATAGGAAGAGCTCCTCTGCGAGCCACGTTCCCAAGTATCGTATCGGTACACGCCCTGGTTCTTCTAGCGCCACAGGAAGTGGTATGTCGTATCCAACCGCCGTCTCTCTGGGTCCCACAAGCTTCCTCACACTATACGATTCGGACTCTCGTGATAATACATAAGCTAACCAGGCCGCTGAATCACTCCTCATTTCTTCTCCTACTTTCGGTCAGCATCACTCTACTCCCACCCCATCTCTCGACGTTGCTAACCCTTCAGACAACTCTCGCACTCAGGTCCAGTATGGTCGAATAGGTTCAGTAGCCAG